AAATACAAGATATCCTTTTTTTAACACCCCTTTGCAGTAAAAGAATATTATTTAAAATTTAGATACATCTAATATTATGGTTTACCCAGACTTCAATTTTTCAAGGTTTAAGAGAGTTTTTTTATAAAACCGTTTCCTTTTAGGAGAATTATTGGGGTAAATTCTAATTAATTATATACCATAACACTTGATTAATTTAAAAACTAACCTATATTAACCCTTAATTTAACTCTATTTTAAAATACTTCTTGTGTCCAATATTTGTTAATAAAGTTCTATTTTATAGTTTTTTTCTTTTTTAACAATCTTGAAGCATTACTAAAATGGAAATTAATTTAGCACATTTTAAAATTACAATAATAATTATTAGTTGCATGAATGCAATAATATCTTAATTCTTTGTATACTGTTTTTTGGTATTATTCTTATCATAACCAAGCATTTTCTATCAATTTATATTTCGAATGTGAATTGTATAAGATTTATAAAGTATATTCTACAACTAAATCTTTCAGCATTTATCATTTCTAAGTTTTCTAATCCTATTATTTCTTGAGAGTGAATATATAATATTCACAAAATAATATATTCTCAACTCATATTTAATTAACAGTAATACTATTATTTTTTTATTAATTTGATTTTATAAACTTTAAATTTTAGCAATGTTATTGAAAAATTTTAATTAGTAAAATACTTATTTTGGAAATTTAAGAGAAAATACCCATGCATTTAAGTGTGGCTAATATGAATACTTTTTTATATATTTAAATAATTTATTGTCCAATTTATTTTAGGAGGTTGTTATAGAGAAGATAAATTTTATTAAGATTGTTCATTGTGTTTAACAAATACCAATAAATATTTCCTTTTTAATTCTACAATTTAGGTGCAATTTCTGAATTTAATTGTAAAATATAACCAGTTGAAGTTATTAAATATATCTTTTACTATTATAAACTAATTTTACAAAATTATTAATTCTATCTATTAAGACTTATGTTTATAAATAGTAATAAATTAAATAAATTATCAGAATATCTTATGAAATAATCATGTTTTGTTAATTTAGGTTTCAATTAAGTAATTAAAATTAATCTTTATTTTAATCTCTTCATTTAGCTTACTGTTCTTTGTTTAGATTATTAAATTAATGTAGTATCATTTAACATTTAATCTCTATATATGTTAATTAATATCTGTTTTTTTTTAAGGAGATCTCAATAAATATACCCTACATTTCCTTAAAATGGAATACTTTTGAAAAACTTGTATGAATCTTGATTAAGAATAAAGCCAAAAAAAAGATATAATTAAAAAAATATGAAGAATAAATTAAAATAATAATTGTTGTAATGTTCTTTATGAATAATAATTATCACTTTTACTTCAGGTCTTCTAAAATGCAACTTCCTTCTTGTTTAAACAATGTCTTTAAGTCAATACCGGATTGATTTATAAACTCTCCTTTCAAAATTAAAGCTCCTTTGGCTTGAAATATTGCTTCTTGAGATATAAGT